CAGGTTTGTATTGCATGTATTTTTTATTTTACTAAAATGTATGTCGACATTCGCACCAAGCAGAAGCCTGGCCAAGGGGTGGCCAGGGTGTCCAGTGCCAGCCTGGAATGAAGCTTGGCCACCCAAGTTATGGAAAGTGAGACAGTCAGCCATCGTTACTAAAGCATCAACTATACCTTATGCTGAAAATCTGACATTGGGGCAGTTAACAATCAGTTATGAGAGTCTGACACTGCTGCATTTAATAGCTAGCGTATCTTGCTGTGATAGGCTAATTTGCTGAGCCAACAGGTGAGTGAATGTGTAGGGTCCCTTCAGCAGTGCTACTCTGTGAGCTATATTATGAAGTAGTATATTTGACAGGAAGAGGAGTTAACAATCAAAAACTAGCCGGCTATAATTGTTTAGCATGCTATCTAATTTATTTTTACAGTTGAATACATACTTGTGTTGTAGGTTACCTTGTACGGTGCTGTCTGGCTACCTTTCTAATCATTAATAACCCATAAATAACCTGTAGTGAAGCAACCTAAATGAATCACTTCATGAAAGGTGTTTAAGCTAAGCGCGCACTGTAAAAAAGTAATGTATTTAAATGACTTAATTCAAAGGCATCATTTTAATGAATGACTGAATGTTACAGTGCAAAAGTTGCTTTGATGTAATAATTTATTCATGTGGAAATGATGGACAGATTTAGTTATATACAGAGAAAAATGCACTCTAAATAAAGATGGTGAAGACAGTGTTTCTATACAGAATCATGAACACTCAACGAACCATTTGCATGATTAAGTGGTTCTCTGCCCAGAGAAATGGTTCTTCAGATTGATGGAGAATGTGTCATGTATGGTTCTATACAGAGCTTTTTTGAAAACGGTTCTATATAGCACCAAAAGCATTCTTCTACTGTTATGATGTGAAGCTCGAACGCTTTTGGTGCTATATAGAACCATTTTCTAAACTAAAGAACCATCTTTTTTTAAATGTGTAGCAGTTTGCCACCACAATAAAATCTCTGGATCCTACTTGGCCACCCTATTCTGAAAGTTCTAGTTACAGCCCTGGCACCAAGAGAAATTCCTGCGTCTTGTACTTGATTCCTGCTTCGAGTTTCCTCGCTTCTCTCTAGTACGCCTGGCAGTAAAGGTGAAGAGTAAAGCGCTGAAAGCAGCAGTGTCAAGGTAAAGCGTAGGTTATGACAGTGACAGGCAGCTGCCCCGAGAGCAACGCGTCCTTCTGAAGAGGCAGGAATGCCCTGCAGTGGATTATGCTGGCCTTCTGCCAGGAGAGCGCCAGGTCTACAGCAGATGTGCGTTGGTGGGACTTTTGTTAGAGCAAAAAAACAAGCAGAAGCACATATGCTGGATCTGTAAAGAAACAAGTATATTAGTGCCTAGGTGAAGAGTGTCTGATGTACAGAGAGGGGGGAGAGAAGGAGGAGGAGGAGCTTTGGGATCCAATCAGCGGAGCTGCAGAGTGAAAGCACTTCCATTAAGTGAATAACAGAGCGATTATAACAAACCCCACATGTAAAGGCAGTTTTGTTCACACTAATAAAGCAATAAGAAAGAGCTCTGTGAGAAAGCTCACACTCAGCACAACTTCTGTCTGTCTGACTGAAAAGGGAGGAGAGATTTGTCTCCACACGGACACTTTTTTTCCTTTCACCTTTCACACAGACTCTCGACTCTCAGTATGGAAGCGCAGAGAAAAGACGTGAATGCAGAAACGGGGAAAACGGGGTGAAGTTATGAAGTAGGAGAAGACACGATAGCGTCTTCAGATAAACCTGACGTTTCATTCTCACCCGTTTGTTTCTGCTCTCCACTTCTTCTTTTCGCTGCGTCTTTCATTTTTCCTCTCTGCTGTTTCCTTTTTCCTCCTCAGAAGTTTGTCGAACTCTGCGGGAGCGCGTGGACTCTTTTCGTCGTCTTCTTGTAGCGCGAGACCTGCTGTCAGGTGTGCGTGAAGTAGAACTTCTTACTCGCTTTTCTTTTCCTCAGTCAGCCACTCCCTCTTTTTACTCAGTAGCCTCTGGCCAATATCCCCCCCTCCCTCCCTCCCTCCCTCCCTCTTTCTCTCTCTCTCTCCCTCCCTCGACGTGCCTCAGCCAGGCATGTTTGACTGGGTGTGTCCGTTCATTCTTCGACACATCTGCCTAAAAGAGAGAGAGCGAGAGCTCCCCTCCCCCACTCACTCACTCACTCTCCCCTCAGGCAAAGGTGGGGCCCTGCACACTAACGAACACACTCTCTAGCCTTTCAGCCAGCGTGTTATTAAAGGGAAATTGCACCGAATATTCAAAATGTGTGCATAATTTAACCGTTGAGATGCACATGGGGCTATTCACAGTAGTTTAATGTGAAATGTTTGTAGAGAAACTTATTGGGTGAGATTTATTTAGAGTAGTGGTGACACGAGCCAGGGTGTCTCCAACTCAAATACCTGTCCAAAACGACTAGTGAAACTACACACGTGAGTGTTTCTATGTAATACTGATAAGAGTAAAATAGCGGTAAATCTGAAAAAATAAAAACGTTATTTTGGGGATTTTTTTGCCTTACGACGCCCTGACTGTACCTCATCACCATCAATAGTTTTAAAAAAATGTTTTAGGCTAAAACCTTATCTTTTACTTTTATTTTATTGTCTCAGGTATCAGTGTATTCGCAACCATTTCATGTAATAACTTTCGGTGACGGGTTAAGGCGCCCTTTAACACTTGGGCCGTCTGGTTCCTATCACCACCACTGTGAACAATTCTGACTCAGTACGTTCTTTTTTGAAAAAAATAAATAAATACACACACACACACACACACACACACACACACACACACACACACACATATATATATATATATATATATATATATATATATATGTAGTGCAATTCTGCTTCAATCAGGAATTCCCCGGCTGTAGTTTAGTGTAACATTGCATTAAAACTCCTGAATATAGGTTCTGCAGTTTTAAACACTCAATCCAGTACAACCCAAGTGACTCAACTGTTAAAGGGCAGATGAGAAAGTGTGTGTGAGTGTGTGTGAGTGGAGCAGTTTAGTCCTTCACACACCTAACCAGTCCTGAATCAGCTCTACTGGGAGTCTGCAATTGCTTCTTTTGTATTCAGGCGAAAGAACAGTTGTTGCATCAACAGCCTGGGGGTTTGCACTTCTAATGTGAGGCCTCAGTAACATGCAGGGCTGCCATTATTGATTATACAAGTCAACAATTATTTTGACGATTGAGATATCTTTTTTTTTTTTTCAAACACTAAAAAATGGACTGTATAATAACACCCATGCATTTAACAACTAGTAAAAATATAAACTAGAGGGCATTAGAGGGCATACCAAAACCTTGTTTCTCCATTTTTGTCATTTTCATTTTTCTCTGTATGATCTGAAAACAGCAGTTGGCCTTTACATTGCGTCAAAATTTCACCAACAGAACTCGTCCAAAGCGACCAGAATAAGATGTTGTTCCACTGACTACCAATACTTGCGAAGGTCCATCTAAATCAATGATTTCAAGTTTTCAAGATCAAGTAATCGTATTTAATCAATAAGGCATGTCAGCTCTAATAACACCATGTTAATGTGACCATCAACAGGCACTTCATAAATCATGCGATCCACTCACACAGTGGCCTGCAGCAGCTCAGAAGCCCTTGAGCATTCATTTACATCATGGTTATATAACAGTCCTCCAAACAGCAATTATGTCAGTCTTAATGGAAAAAAGTACCAAATTTTGTTACACTATGGTCCTAAAGAGTTGGCCAGTGCTTTGGAAAAGCCATGAATGCTCATACACATACAGCAAAACTGACCTTTTCAGTATCAATTAGCACATCACTGCCTTTCCAGAGCAGCCACGGGAGCGCCTGATACTGAAACTCACCGGACAAGTTTAGAACTATTCCAAATCTGATCAGTCTTTCACAGGAACCCCCACCAATTCTCTTATCACTTGTACTGCACTCAGTGATGAATGGTGACATTTAAAATGAGAGATTTTTGTCTCACTCTCCCTCCCATCACACACACGCAGCACTTAGATTTGGAATTGCAGGCTGCAGCCGACAGAAACTGAAGCTACTGGCTCTTGAAGAAGCTACTTGTTTATAAATAATGTTCCAGAATTCCTGCAAATTCATACAAATTTAGCCCTCAAATGGTCCTTACCGTACATTTTCATTTTTTTCCTCTGAGGTGCACTTATGACATTTGTGTAGGTTTATGTGCCAAAAATAGTCATAATAATTAATTACAAAAGTCATTCAGATGATTCATTTTACAGGACCTTTTCCAGCCTCTCTTTAGCCTTTTAAACAGAATTAAACTGTGAAACACTGTGCAGATATGGGTGAACATCAAAACCAGCACCAGCCCAGCATAAGACCAACTTAGACCAGCATAGAATGCATGCTGGTTCTTGCTGTTTTTTTTTTCAGTTAACATCACATGAAAATAATGTTACTGTTAAATTTCAACAGTTACCAGCACCAGATGCTTAAACTGTAGCCCAAAACTGCCAAAGCAACTTAACCACACTGGTTTGTGTGGGGTATTCTGGTGAGGTTGCCCATCAATTCAGTGTACAGCCGTCTTAGCTCACATGTAGCAATGCATCATATTTTGGCTCCTTAATGACTTCGTTATTCAGAGGATTCGCCATCCATCTCATTCAGAGAAAAAATGTCTAGGGCAAAATGGATCATGTTTAGAACATTTTTGTTCACCACAGTGTGTGGTAGCAACGATTTTGGAAACTCCATTCATTTTCCTCATCGAGAAACAACCTTAATACCAGAGTTACTCATGTGGGCATGATGCCAACTACGTTCCTTCTTTTAAATATGTGCCGTTTGTTCAAATGAGCTTTTCAAAAATAAAAAAATCTTAAAATGAAAACCTCTTAAGCACATCATACAGAGAAAAAATAGTTTGCTCTGTCATGTGCAAGAGAAAGGACAAATATAACTTTTTTTTTTAAAAAAGGATTTATTTGTAGTTTCACAACCCAAAAAGTTGCACAGCTGATGATGTTCCAAGTGTCCAGTCTGACCCTGAATGTCTCATAGCGTTTAAAGCCTAAGGTCTAGTCCCAGACACAGACTAAACCAGATTAGCCCCAGTTCTCATTTTCAGTAGAGACTCTTTTCATTCATGACTAAATTTGAAAAAAGAAAAAAAAAAAAGAATTCACTGAATTTACTTGATTCAAATGTGCACAGCATTTCCACATGGGTAAAACATAACATCCACACTATTTTCTCTTCTAGTTTGCTTACTTTAGCCGATAGTGTTGATGTATTGTTATATGTTTGTCAAAATTATATGCACATTTAAATCACTACATTTTCCCATGTATAAACAGAAGATCAGCCCAGATGCTGATTAAGTTCCAAGAGATTTCTCCTGTGATCTTCAGTAAGTCCACAAATAAATACACTATTTAAAGCTGGTAAATGTAGAAAAGGTCTTGGGTCCATTCCACCAGAGACAAGGGAGAATCTGTCTTTAAAAAGCCTTGTGGTGTTAAAGACATAAATCCTCTGAGACCAGCTCTGTTTACAGTTCAAAGGGCCAGTTTGAGTGAGAGTATGTGTTTTGAGTGAAGGTGAGACAGGTGGTTAGGCAGGGTGTGTGTGTGTGTGTGTCAGATAGGGGGCCAGCTCTTCGTGACGTCTTGGTGAAGCGACTCTGGAATCCACCGACAGTATGCTGACAGGAGATCTGTAAAAAGAGATGAAAATATGAGTTTTTCCACACCTTTTTTTAACGCAAATGCACATTCCCCATTTAACCCTTAGAAGTCAAAGTTATCACTGGTGATGACAAAAACATGGTGTAACTTTCTATAACTATACTCACTCAATGATCAACGAAATTTTTAAAAGTGCAAATATTCTACCAATACTGTCCATTCTAGACTTTTAATTCATACAATCTATTCACAATATACACTGAACATAAATGTAATCAAATTATGCAACAGAAATGTACTGTAATTACATTTAAATAATTGTGGAATTACAGTATCTAATTATTTAAATGTATTACAGTACATTTAAATAGGTATGTAATGTGAATTTAATTAAAGGTACTATTTTACAGTGCGTTTTTCAGTTGGGCCCAACCGATATGAAAATTTTGTGGTTAATATCATGTTTTTGTTTCTTTAAGCATGATGGTGTTTAAAAAACACCAGATCAGCCTGTTATTGCTGTCATATAGTTAAACAGGCAGGGGTACTGCTATTGAGTTTCACCCTTGAGGCAATATTTTTGCTGATACAGCAGTCAATATTTAGAATTTATTCTTTTATTCTACCTTTTAGAAGTTTACATATTTAATTTTAGGCTCTTACAGTCAAGATCAGGGGTCTCTACCTGCCATTTTAAGGGCACTGTAAAGCACACTGATCCCTTTAATTGCTGATTACTAGATCTGAGTATATTTTCATGGAACAAACAAAAACTTCTACACCCTTTCTTAAGCTATTTAGAAAATCGAATGGCAGGGTCACCACAATCAACACAGTTCACATTTAACTTACATCGACAAAACAGAAAAGCAATCAAAATCAGTCCCAAAAAAATTCTGGCCATACTTACATTTTCCATTTTTCTTCCATGCAGCTTCTAAGGCATCTCTGTTGTTGACTTTCTCAGACACCAGTGCTCCCAACAGAGCTTCAGTGCGAGGTTGCAGCCTAAAATACATGTAAAAAAGGTCAAACAACACAACCTATTTCTTGCTATACACATACAATGACAAATATAACATTTATTTCTACGCATCGTGTCCTTACTTGGCCCAAGTCTTCAGCATGGTCGAGGGGCTAGACAGTAAATGTGTACTGTACTGCTGCAACCTGGGACAAACCTGAAACATTCATCCAGAATATAAGTTCTTGGTACAAGCCTCCTCTGTACTGCCAACTTCACTGTTAACTCTTTTGCTCTTCTAATAACAAATTGTCAATATACGGACAACCAGAAGCACATACCTGTCCCTCCAGCAGAAACCTGGCAAACAGTTTGTAGCGCTCACTACCTTCTGGATGATCCATTTCTATGGCAGGAAGCTTCCAACCAATTCTAACTGTGAAAATACATACACATAGAACAAGTTAATCTAAAGTTTGGATATTTGTGGACATAGTTGAAAAATGTTCAACTTAAGCAGAAAATGCTGCTCATCATGTGTCAAACTGAAGCAGAGAGCGAACTGAATAGTAGAACACATTTACTCTCATTTATGACTTAAAAATATTCAACTCAAAGCTTTTTTCCTCCAAAAAGAAGTGAAATAAATGCTAGTTTCTTGAGTCTATCCACAGTGTGACATAGTGCTGAACCTCCCGCACATGGCTCCGCCCATAAAGATCCATTCAACTCCTTCTCCGCTTTGCAAAACTTGTCACAGGCGGATTTCTCATGGTTCAGACTTCTGAACGCAGCCTTAATTGTTACTGTGCCACTGGCATTCGCAATACTGATAAATGTGCAATAAGAAAATGCACCTCTGTCCAATCACTGATTGTTTTATTGTGTGCTCTGAGCATCCTGACCTATCACAGATGTTCTTTGGGTGTTGGGATGAATCAAGGTATTCATATGATCCAACAAACGTAAATAATTAAAAAATGTAATACATTTTTGACTTTTCAATACATTGTAAAGTACATTGCATATAACTGCAATACGCTATCATGTCCGTATCACAGCACCCTAATCAGTATATTAAACTACTGCCCTAAAGCCCCTTCTAACCACACTCTTTCCACTGCTGGAGTGATAATTAAGTCCTTTTGGTTATTTAAACAGTTCAATTAGTTTATTTGGATAATTTTATTTACTTCTTCACTGTTTTTCAAATATTGAAAGATTAATCTCAACCCTAAAATATTATATTATAACATCTTTACAATATAATATCCTTCCCTTAAGTCATTCAGCCCTAGTTCATACACAATAACAATCGACTGGAAGAATCAACAGCGCTATGAAAGTCCAGAGAAAGTTTGAGGAGTCTTACAGAAGGTGCTCCGCTGTTGACACTTCACTCTGCCACTGAGTGGGCAATACCAGGGGGCGGGGTTTTGCTCTGGTCCGCTGAAGTGACAATACTGTGGGATGAGCTTTGGAATCCAATCAGGTTGCACGGCACACACACCTACAAGCCATGTTGAAAATGCAAACATAATCACACATCAGCCTGTAGCACAATAGCATTTGCTATGTACATATTTATCTGTAATATAGATGACAAAATAATGAAACAATTTGTGATAAACCAAGTGTGACTATTTTGTCATCAGGGACACCTCATTCCTTCTTGGAATGCTGTTGTACACGTTTTGAAACAAATTTCAAGTAGGGATTCAGACCACTCTTCAAGAGCAGAGCCGTTTTCTACAGCTTTAATCTACAACAAGGCCAGTTATTGTAGATTAAAGGCTTCCTTTAGTCTTCTCAAAATGAAAACCAATCAAGAAATAGGAAAACTTCAAGCTTTTTTCTCACAACTGTAATTACGCATAAATGCTCAAATGCCATCTCTCACACACACCTTTCATGTACATCTTGGTGGTCTCCATGACCTCCTGGTAGACAACAAACTCAGGCAGTGTTTTGTGGAGGGCAGAGGAAGGGTGGATAAATACAGGATCATCCAGCAGGGGGGTCTACACAACAAGCCATACACAAGAACATTACATTCAAGCCAGAGGCCAAGTTCACAAAAGTATCTGAAGCAAGGAAATCTTATTTGAGCCTACAGAGACTCATCCATGCTTTCATCTCCAGCAGCGTGGACTACAGTAATGGTCTCTTAACTGGACTTCCCAAAAAGACTATTAAACAGCTACAGCTCATTCAGAATGCTGCTGTGAGAGTTTTAACCAGGACCAAGAGGACAGAGCACATTACTCCAGTTCAAAAATCTTTACACTGGCTTCCATTTAGTAACAGAATAGATTTTAAAGTACTGCTACTAGTCTATATATCACTGAAGGGTTAAGACCCAGAATACATCTAAAATGTTTAAAGAATATAAACCGAGTAGGTCTCTTGGATCCATGGAAACAGGTCGGCTAGTAAGGCCTAGAGCCCAAACTAAACAAGATAAAGCAGCGTTTAGCTGTTATGCTGCATACAAGATCTTAGATGTGCTCTAAATGTAGCTTTTTTAAAGCTAAAGCTAAAAATAGTTTCTTAGGAAGGAAGTTGAGATAAATTATTCTTCTTCAAAAAGCTTCTTAAGAATTTTCCTCATTTCTTTCTTAACTTTTCTCGTAAGAACAATTATAAAAATAAAAGGCATTCTAGAAAGAATATGTTGTTAAATTTCTTAACCTTTTCTCTTTTTTTCCTTAACCCTATGACAGTCTCACACTTGTTATAGGCTGTAAAAACTGACAGCGTAAACCTCCTAAACTATTGAGAATATAATTGTTAAAACAAACCAAGGAAGATTTTTCCTGTTGGCTGTGTACCATCACTTCTAGCTCTTGTTTGCAAATTTTTGTGAACATTTGGTTTGATTTTGTTTTGCCTTCTTTTTGCAGTCCTTGTGGGCTGATGTGATAAAACTGAGTAACAGGATAACGGAAATAAGCTTTAAATTTTGATAGTCTGTAAGCATATAACACAACACTGAAAGTCTACATGACAATTAACCTACAGCCTCCATACAAAAACAACTGACATTTTCTCAAGAAAATAATTAAGACTTCTTAAGACAACATTTGAGGAATTCTTAACTTTTTTTTGCATTTAAGAGCATTCTAATAAACATCTTACTGTTTGTCTGTTATTTTTGTGTATCCAGCCCCATATTTCTAAGAGAATTTTATGTCTCCTAAATCCACCAGGGGACTCTCTGCATAAATTGTCAAGCGTCCCCTAAAGCGCACTCTGATTCTCAGCCCAGGGTTGCGACTTGCAAGATGGTTGTAAAAAAGATACATAGGCCTACTCTGATGTGTCTTTCAGAAAGACTTTTCCATAAAATCCCCATGCTAGTGACATCACGCAGTCATTATAAGCTAGATAGTGGCTGTACTGAAAGCGCGAGCACACCAACTGTAGTGAGAGTAAAGGCCTGTAACTGAGGCGGGCAGCTGTACTAACTGCGGAGCAGCACAGCCACTCAGCTAAACTACCAGCATACTTTCCTACCTTATAAACATTAGATTATTATGAGCTTAGCACTCTACAAAGCATCTACATTCGGAGCGTTAACTTGTCAGAAAAGTCTGTCATCTGAAGCAGATAAGTGGGTTACCTCACATGAGAATGTATTTTTGCCTTGTATGATTATTCAGTTTATAAAAGAAACATTTACTGCCCCGTTCAAAATGACCTGGCTGGTAAAAACCTGTCCAACATTTGCAAATATCGCCTCAGAATGTAAAACCCCAAACAATTCAAAATAAAGCCAAAATTGTTTTGTTTGTTTATGGTCAGCAATGGCATGCTCTTCCTTACATTTGGTAGTCATCAACTGTAATAATGTTAGTAACTAACTGGCCTAGAACACACTAGGAGCCGCAAAGATAGCTTTAAACACTTCAATGGATGTTGTCCATGTTTATATGTGCATTTTTATTGAATTCAACTAATATTTTAATGTTACATTTTATTTTGACAGCCCTGTTGGCCATTTGCACATCTGTGTGTACTAGTTTTAATCTGGCCGATGGAAGACAGGTTTATAAGTAACTACCCACTCTGCATGCTGTGATGAGTCTTTTGGAGCAAGATATATTAGCCGGACCTAAAAGGTGTGACTTTCATGGCATCGCATCTTTGAAAGTGTTCTTTAAAGCACTTAAACGTTAGTCAGCCCTGGGAGCCACTTTGCTTCCTAAGAGTGCAATTTTGTTGTTGCCCCATTTTGAAAATCTTCTGCCTTTACACGTCACACAAAAACAACACACTCTGGTTGTCAAAGTAGATGTTTTTTGAAGTCAAATGGACGTTATTTCAAGTGGAAAATCAGAAAAGAGGTTCTCTTCTTTACAGCAGCAAATTTTACAGGACAAACACATTTTATTAGAATGAGGCGCCAACATGCTGAAGAAGACAATAAGCATGCAGAAGAGTTTTTATCAGCTTAAGTTAACTGTGTTTAGCAATCAAGTATATCCTCTCATCTCCAGTTTCAGTAAATGCTGGAAGACTGTTAACGACTGTGCATTTGGTCACCTTGTAGCCATTTCTCCATTTTGGATCCAGTATCTCCTCAGCCTGTACTCTTCTGGCCAGATGATCGCCCAAGCCTGCCAGAACAATCTGCCTCAAACACACCACCTGAGATTCAGTAGGGGGCGCCATTTTGCCGTCCACACAAACCCCCGCGTCAGAACACACAGCGTTCACTGAGGGGTAGAGAGAGAGAAACAATTCACTCACATATAACAAAAAGCTTAAACTTGCTAGTAAGAAGCTTAAACTAAGCTAGTAGTTGTCAGGACAGAATGCACTACTTGAATGTAAGTAAATGTAATTGGAGTATCAAAGAACAGCACTGTCTGAAATAAAGGCTAAATTATTGCCCATTTCACCTTCTGTATCTCAACATCCACCCATGGAGTATCATTGCTGAATCAGAGCAGAATACTGTGTGCTGAACATACTGAAAGTGTCTTTAACAATCAACAGAAGTGAGAACAGAATAGTCATATTGCTGTGAATTAGTTTGCAGGAAGGTTGTTGCGAGGTTATGTTTGTTTTTGTGAATACAAATTTACTCTCATTTACTGCTATCTTACAAACTGTGTTAGATGACTGATTTAGACATGCAAAAGAAATAAAGTGAAACACCATCACTACTAAGCAGGTACGAAAAGTTTGTCATGAATCTGCTTTGCTGGCATTTCAGTGTAACGCTTTATAAAACAGATCACATTCAAATATGTCAAACATTAACTGTTTTATGGAAAGGAAATTTGAATAACACATTTGTGCAACTTTGACAGCTCTTTTGTGTGTGGGTGTGTTTGTTCACCTGCATTAGTAAGCTGCCCCCGCAACCTTCGTATCTCCAGCATGGCTTTGTAGCGAAGGCCATTCTCCTCACAAAAGCTTGGCGTGCAGCCAGCAAACTCACACGCCCCTACGGCACCTACATAGCAATTACACAACACATTGGAAAATACAGTAGCATATTTATACTTTATTTTACATGTGTGTATGCAAGTGGGTTTTTTTGTGATTTACCTAGCATCACCATGAGGTCTCCAAGCAGTAGAGATGGACCCTGCCCTGCCCACAGCCTCCTCATCTGAGCAAAACGAGCCTTTCTCCCAGCCAGCTTACTGCTCTCCTCCTCACTACTCGTCTGCCTGATGGAGACAGGGCGAGCGAGAGAACGACAGAGGGATAGTTACATTTTAAAATTTTAAAATTAAACTCCACATAACCATTTCACATGTTCTTACTGTCGTAATGAAAACCTCACTTCTCTTAAACAGGTTTTTACACAAGATGGAAAAAAAAGATTTTTTACATATGTTAATAGAACACACATTCACATTGTGCGATGTGATGCTGTTATCTCTGTAGTCCTATTGTGGGGTAGAGGGTGTTTGAGTAATTTGAGCATAACACACTTTTTTGGATTGCCATCTTAAATGAAATACTTCAAGTAAAATAGCTCATTTTAATGTACAGTAATTTTGAAGCGAAAAACATTGGATCTGTATCAACTCACATTAAAGATGATTTCAGAAAACAATGTGTTACGCCAACTCTATCATAAACTGTTCTAATGATGTAAAAGCTGGTTACTTTTAAAGGGGTTATGAGGTTTTCTAGGGACAGCAACAGTATGGAACTTAAAAGGCTGTTTGCTCACCTGTCCAGTTCCTCAAAGATCTCTCTGACAGTCATGGCTGCCACTATAGTAATGACATAGGGCATGCAGCCCTGCTGGCGACCCAGAGCTAGCATTTTAGCATAGCGCGGTGCAACGGGAAATGCCGCCATTGCACGACCCAGAGGGGTTATAGGGCAAGACAGACGAGCCCTCTCCATATCCACCATCCTGAGAGAGAAGGATATACTTAATAAAGCAACTGAAAAGACAAAAGGGGAGGTGAAGAGAGTGATTAATGAAAGAAGAAGAGAAAGACAAGGATCATACCGTCCTTGCCGAGGAGGTTCCTCCAGAGCTCCTAGAGAGACCAGCAGCTGCTCAGCAGACACCAGTGCCTCAGATGAAGGAGGGGTCGGGAACGGAAAGTTCACAACCTAAAAACACACCACATACTGAAAGGAGTAGCCTTTTATAGCAAAAGCATGCAGAGATGAACTAATTGTTTGAGGGTGATATTAAGTAATGATGGCCATTTACAAACATACAAACTACAAACGCCTTATTTGAATGCCTACTTAAATGTAAAACAAATAATTTGGATTCAGATTAAGGGTTAAAAATTAACAAGTAATAATGCATTAATATGATTAATTTACACCTTGTTTGACCCTTTGCACCATAGTGCAGCTTTTGTATGAAACGTACTATTAATGGCTTTCTTAATAAAACCAAATAGTTACTGCCATGCTGTGAATTTTTGTTTATCAACAAAATAAATTTGTTTGAAATTTGAATTACCATTTAAAAACAAAACACGCCATTGATGCCAGCAATATCAGTAATCTGGCAGACTACACTGAACTGGACACTGAAAAGTGTGAGAGACCTATCCACTCATTAGTTGGAACGTGCAGCCGCTGTTGCGCTCACTGGGTGTCGGTGAATTGGAAACTGTGTTAACTGCATATAAATTAGGTCATTTTCTTATTATTTTTGATTCAGGTTCACATTTGCATAATAAAAATTACGTATTTGATTTACTGAATTACTCAAAGTTTAAGCTTATTTTGTTCACTCACATAGCTGTAACGAAATGCACTGCTTATTAAAAGGAAAGAAAATATTTATTTTGAGTCAAATTTGAGGACAAACATAATTAATCTTGATTAATTACACAAAGGCATGTAGAAAGAAATGAACAGAATGAAGTACGAAACTCTCCACAAACCTTCTCAATGTTGAGATCTTTCATCTGAAGGACAAGGTCTTCAACTGGTCGGCGGGTAATCTCAGCCTCAGAGAACAAGCTAAAATCACTAAATACTGCAGAGGAGTACAGCCTACATGCAGAAAATATAAACACACATGCATTCATTACCAACCACAACCAGATTAAAACTGATATTTCAATAAGCAACCACCTACCAGCTTTTCCTCTTTTAAGAAACAGATGTACACCGAGGAATACACAGGTGGTAAAGCATTGTGGGTAATACTGCTGCCATTTACATAGCAGACTGGGGTTTGATTCCCTGGCCTGGCAACTACACCATGCTACGCTTTGCCTCTGTTACATGACTGAATTGTAAGTCGTGCTGGCTAAGACCCTCTGCCAAATGCATAAATGTAAATGTAAATAAATATTTAACCTATAGCAGTGTCCCGGCTCTGTTCTTCCCGCCCTCCCAGCTCTCTGATTGGCTGAGGCCTGTGAAATCCAGGTGACCTTAAATGAGGAGACTCCCGTCACTCGGTCGTAGAATCTCTTCTTCACCCGGCCACAGTCCACCACGTACTTAATACCAGGGATAGTGAGAGATGTCTCGGCCACATTGGTGGCAACCACACACAAACGAGCTCCTGGAGGAGGAGGACGAAACACCTGTACACACATACACACACCAACAGGCACAGAGCACAGATTAATGAGGCTGAAAAGAGCGGCACAGATGAAGCTAGAATGTGATCACAATTCTGCAAAACCTTTTTAGAAATAAAACAAGAAGAAAGTAGTAAGAAATATCAATATTGCACATTGAACTAAACAAACAGGAGAAATAAAGTACTTTAGCTTGCTGTTCAGGTGCCAGGAGTGAGTACAGAGGCAGCACATACAGCGGAATAGAGGGATCAGCCTTCTCCTCTAAAAGTCAAAAACACACACATATTCCAGTTATACATTTCAGTAGAGTATGGCTACATAATATATTGACAGTTAATTCAATCTTCTGCATAGGCTAGACATAACATAAAACAGCAGGTTTGGAAAGCTCTTAAATCAGGCAGCTGCATTTGTATTTTTTGTATTGCACACATATGCACTGACTAATTTTACTTGTATTGCTTCGGTGAACCAGCACACTATAATGGAGATGCAGAAACTATGTATAACCTATGGTGCACTGCATGCTTAAAATGATCACAAGAGAGGTGAAGTCCACATCTGGATGGCTAAGCTTCAGAACGTTTTTGGTTTCATTTTCTGTTTCCATTTTATTGTTTAACTTGGTTCAGTATTCACAAAATCAAACAAAAGTAAATTATTTTGGGCATTTTAACCATGTTACATAGTTCACCTATGCCTTTTGAATTTACCATAATGCATATCGCAATCACAGTACACAGCAATATAACATCGTGCTTGAACAAAAAATGTTGTATCTTCATTTTATTTTTTTGACATAAATAAACAGATTAAACAAAATACCAGCTGCCCTATATTATTATATAACAAACAGACAAATAAAAATGGTTAAAATTGCTTGAAATAAAATCTTTTAACATTACTGAGAAATTTCCATCTAACGTAAAGTTATCATTTTGGAGATATAAGATTTTGTTCGGACAGGGATCATAATCACAATATAATTATAACACAAGTATTCTGTCCATAGTGCAACCTCAGTACAGAGTCCGAGGGAAAACCGTACGGAACAGTTGATTAAAATCTAACCAGTGTCCTCTGGGTGATCGCCTAAATCCAGGTCCAGGTCTGAACCTTCCTCAGCGTCATCATCATCGATGCCAGCCTGCCGATCCTCATCGCCCTCATCCACAGGCAGAGCAGAGTAGTTATCCAGATCTATCCTTGGAAGAGACTGACAGAGAGGGAGAAGGAGAGATCTGTTAGAGAGAACAACAGAGGAGTGAGTAATCTACAGAGGAATGAGTGATAAATAACAATCAATACCACTGTTTTCTTCTTTTTTGCTTTCTTAAACTTCCTGAGCTCCTCTGATGTGTCCTCTGCATCTGTAACAATAAGTACACAAAGACTTGTTATAGGATTTTGTTAGCAATAGTTAGTGTGCGTGTGTGTGTGCGCGTGTGTGTACTGACCAGTGTGTTGTACGCTGGCTCTGTAGGGAAAAGCTTTCCTCAGTCTCCGGCACACAGAGTGCACCTCTGCCTGACCAGTCAGAAACACCAGGATACCGCCTAGAGCACAAGAGAGATTCAGTCTGTAACTGAGGAAATTATCCATGCGTACATGTGTCATGGTTTCCAAATGTGACCTAAAATAAATTAAATATATCTTACATATTGTATTTTTCCTCCTGCGGTTCACTTTTTTCTCTTTCTTTTCTTTTTGGTAATAAACACATGAGAAAATGCTGGCAAGGTACCAATCTGTAGTAGTAGAAAATTTACTTGGACTGCAATGGTGTCAAGATTAATTCTGTCTCAAAAACTGTGGCAAACCTCCAAGCCGGCAACTGCATGCTACTAGTATTTGGTGCGATAAAAAATCATATGTTTGTCTGACCTGGAGGTAGCATGCGGTGAATCTTGCAGGTTTTGCGGAAGGCCTCTCCTGTGTAATCTTCCATCGGTGTGTGTTTATTAAAGTGAACTGTGACTGGGAACTGACGAGCTTCCACCTATACAAGCAGACGTAGTTGGGCCTTTAAAGAGCTTCTCTTACTAAGGTACAGGATAAAATATATATATAGGATAGTTATGTGAATAACTAAATAGTCAGCAAAACATGACTGTGGTTTCTAAATCTCTACTAAAGATGAATGGAAAAGAGAAGGAAGAGAGGGATCAGACCGAGATGACTGGAGGAGGAGTGCGGAAGAGTCTCTTGTTTTCAGTGAAGTCCTCCACGCGCAGTGTAGCTGACATGATCAGCAGCTTCATAGGCAAACTTTTCTGTAGGATTTAACATGCACAAACACACTAAAGTAAACATGAAATGTAAAGCATACTGTGTTTCCTTCTATGATGTCTAAGTGACGCACAGTATCAGAGAGGGTCTCTGAGCTAGCTGAGCCTTTTCTCTCAGTGATAGGTGGGGGTTGTGGCAGGGGGAGGTGAAACATGATATATTACTGTTTAATATTATTACTGATTTGGTGGTACATCAGAAATAAGTTTTAGAGGCTTTTCAGGTTTTTTTTCCACCAGGAAAAACAGCACAGCAGAACAGCACAGTATGGTTACGAATCTGAACCCAGAACTAACTGTACCCTGGTTGAGTCCCTGTGTCCATTTCCCATCAAACAACAGTAAAGCAGAAAATGAAAGAGTAGGCAGGATTCTTAAGAGGTCATGCGGTGGTCACAATATGTGTGTTACCTTGTTGCGGAGTGGTACGATGCGTGAAAGCAGGCCAATGAGGATGTCTGTGTACACACTGCGCTCATGAGCCTCATCAATTATGATCACACTGTACTTCTGCAACAAAAAGTCCTGAACACACACAAACACAAACATAATTAAGCTCTGAAGAGAAACCAAGGTGTGGGCCAGGATAAATATCCAAACTCATTTCAGTATTCTTTTTATTTAATGAAATATTCCAGAAAAAGAAAAAAAGAAATGTAAATGTAAATATACATATGTAAATTATTTGGGTGGCTCTCAGTAAAGTGGGTGTGTAGGAGTGAGTGTGCACTCATATTACCTTCTGAATCTCTTTCAGCAGGACACCATCAGTCATGAACTTGATCTTGGTGTCTTTTGTGACATTCCCCTCATATCTGATCTGATAGGACACCACCCTGATAACACACACACACACATACACACACACAAAGTTAGTTAGATAGTCAAGATGTAGGTACCAAGAATGCATCAAAGTATCAATGCACATACCCTGTGGAGAGATTCATCTCTTTGGCGACTCGGTGAGACATGCTGACAGCTGCCACTCTCCTGGGTTCAGTCACACCAATTATACCACCAGCACTGAGAGAGAGTGGGAGAGAGAGAGAGAGAGGGGTGGGAATCTCTAGGCACCTCACAATTCGATTCGATTACGATTCAGAGGGCTGCAATGCGATTATAAAACGATTATCGATGCATCTTTTTTTTCTATACAGGATTTCTATTTTCTCACTGTGTGAGGACTTGGTAATTTTAAAGCAAAGTATTTGTAATGATTCATAATGAATTTACTTCCAATATCTTTTATTAATAAATGAAATGGAAGTGATGTGGCAAGTGAACTAGAAGGCTCTCATTCACTGCTATTGCTTGGAGCACATGAGACACTGCTGCCACTCATCTGCGATAAAATGTGCAGTTATGGTGAAATACGATCCAGTAGTAATGGATGTCCACGCGGCACGTTACAGCCATCCTGCTTGTTTTCTTTAGTGATTTTATAACTTAGGTTTTGGTCTCGTTGTAGAGAGTGGGGGGATCGCTGTGTCAATAAAATATCTTCAGGTCGTGTGCAACATAGCGCGAAAGCCCTGTTTTGCAACGACTGAGAACTGGCATTCTCCGACCGCAGGTCACCTAGCAACGATGCGTTATTCGCATTCATAAGCGCTGCTGTTGGTTTACTTGCAAGCTAAATCTGCAACGAGAGACTGTCAAAAAAACTAAAAAAAGTTGCGAAGATGAAGTCGCTACTCTTTCGAATTTCCCGGTTCCACCTTAAATGGTGCCACATTTACATTCGGCACCTCAGTCAGAACTGCAAAACAGATTTTTAATTCCATAAAAATTAAATAAATACTTTTTTCGCATTTATATTTACATTTGTAATTTGGGAGGCGCTTTTATCCAGAGTGACTTACAATTCTGTCGTGTTAAAATGGAAGGAAATTGTAACATTAGGAGTCTTGCCCAAGAACTCATATTGGTACAGCATAGAGTGCTTGCCTGGACAGAGAATGGAACCCAGTGTGCCATGTGGAGGGCAGCAATGTTACCCACTATGCTTATGTTCATTAACTTTATCAATGTAAACTGAAATATCATCTAATACTGTGATACATTTGGAAAATAGCATAATATTGAATTTTATCAGTATCAAATCGCTATAAATCTGTGAGTACGCATACCTGGCATATCCAGCCTCGTAAAGGAACTGTGGAACCTGTGTAGTTTTCCCACTGCCTGTCTCACCACACAACACCACACACTCATTCTCCCTGACTGCCTCCATGATCACCTGCTCCTCAGCCAGCACCGGCAACTTCAGACGAGCCTCCTACAGCACAAACACACACAAAGTTAGGGTTTTAGACACCTAAACTAGGGCTGAGACAAAACTGTTATCACAATAAATTTTTCAATACCATTTGATATTATCATAATTTTTATATGCATTTTCTAATGCTCAATTTGCAGCTTCAATAGTACTTTAAACATTGTAGAAAACAAAATGTCTATTCTGGTGTAATACGCAAAAACAACTGACTATGTACATATCTATAAATAATGTAAATGTAATGTTTGCATATAATGTCTAAATAAACAGTTGTATGCAAAAGTTTGAACATCCCCTGTCAAATTACATGTTTTGCCCATTTTCAAAGCAAAAATATGTTTATATGTATCAAGCTAAGTCTCCTGTCCCGCTGGTTTGTGTTGTTGGCTGGATCTTAAAACTCTTAACTGATGTCTCCTCTACTTCTCTCTCCTCTGTGCTCCAGCCAGCGAATCAGGAATCGATCAAAATCCTCAAAATCCGCCATCTTTAAGACACATCAGGTGCATTCTATATGGAAGTCCTTTCATTGCAGCACATGACATACATGATGCAATTTCTCTACTTCCACCCAGTGTTTTTATTGCATGATTAACTTTACAATTAAAAGGATGGTACTGTAAAAGGTTGATGAAAGTTAATGAAACTGTTGATGTGTCTGAATTGCAATAACAGAAGCTCATGTGAAAAGTCAGCTGATAGCAGGATACAAGTGTTTAATATTCACAGATCCTTTAAGCCAAGTGGCAGCGGATGAAAGTGACAAGTGAGTGAAGGGCATCACATTTGGCAAACTTTTTTGGCATCTGTCTTGTCATCTTATCCTCACATCTCCTTCAAGCGTCCTCAGAGGGAGGAGCTAAGACAGAAGGAAGGATGCAGGAGAAGGAAATGTGGAGATATGGCTGAACGATTTGGGCAAAACATCTTTGTTTGTAAAAAATTATGTGACTGTGATCTAAATTGCGATTATTTACTATTAAATTAGGCCTGTTTTTTTCTTACCCAAGAAGCCCAACACATCCACTTTTTCTGGTTTGAGTCTTGAACAATGAACAGCAAACCAGACGGCCAGTTGTGTTTGTGATGTCACACCACATAGGCATTTGGTTGCTTCATCTAAAGGCAGTTTACAAGCTTTGTTATCGGGTTTCATCTATTTAAAACTTGTTAAGACAGTGTTGTTGACAGAATAGGCTATAATAAAAATACACCTCTTGTGATTTTAAAATTGCACTGCTTCAAACTTCAAATTAGTGATTGACATAAAAACGATATGAATCTTTCAGCCATCTCCAATTAAAGATGAGATCCACTTGTTTTGTTTTGATGAATGGCCTGAATTTCTCTTCCTTCCCTTTTAGCAAGTTAAAAGGCCTACATCACCACTTAGTGTTCTAAAGTAGCAATTGCTGATTTGCTGATAACACTGGACTAAGTAACAGAGCAGCACAATAAAACAATTTTTTCAAAAATACCTCAAACTTGCATTATCAACACCGATGTTTTGGCAGTTACTGTTTTTGTCTGATGACCCAATACAAAGCTTTTCTCTTACTTGTATCTCTGGCAGCCTGTCCACTGGAATGAATACAGCCGGCTGACAGTCCTCTTTCTTTTTCACAGCTGTTTTTGATTCTTTTTCATTTTCCACTTTCTTTTCCTCCTTTACTTCCACCGCTTTCAGTTTCTCGTCTTCTTGCTGTGCCTCCTTTTCTGAAGGTTTTGCTTTTTCTGAAACCTCTTCTCCTGTCTCATCCTCCTCTTCTTCTTCAGATGAGTCTGATTCTCCACTCTTTTCTTCCTTAGAAGAATCCACTTCGCTTTCACTCTCACCTTCATCCTCTCTCCTCCTCTTCCTCTTTCTGTTAGCACCACTCAGGCTGCTGATTTTGACTGGAGCTGAACTGTCCTCCTGGGTCTCATCCAGAGATCTACACATAGAGAAGTTAAAAAAGTTCTAAGAATTTCAGGTGAATCCAGAGAGAAAAATAGCATCAACAACAGTCTGTGTGGATGTGCTTACTTTTTAGTCTGATAGAGTTTGTCTCCAGTGCCCAGTTTGGAGGTTGTGTATAGCAGCTTCATTTCTGATTCTGGCAGCTGAACTTCTGCCAGTTTATTCAAGACATCTGCTCGCTGAATGGAGAGAGAAAACGTAGTAAAGCATACAGTCATACTCTTGGAAATGTAGACAAAGTACAGTCTAAAAATACAGTAGGCTGTATACAAACATTTGAGAAGGCAACACTGGTGCTAGAAAAGCTGCACGAATGAAAATACTGCACTGAGATAAATCCATAATAATATTACAAATTATTAATCCCAGTAAGTTAAACAGTGTGTCATTTTTGTAAATTTTAATACTGATTTTGTGAATTTGTTCATTCTTCTCCACAAGTAGGCTCTATTAGCACTCAAGTAGCAGTTTGGACATCAACAAGTGAGAAATGAAAGCCACACCACCAGAAGCTCACAAATGCATGTATGGCTGCATTTACAAAATTCTAAATGAATGTGTGATTTTTAATTTAATTCTCAAAAAAAAACTGCTTAATGGTGTAATTAGTTAATTCTTTGAAAACATACAGTCTAAAGACGGCAAGGGTGTTAAGCACTGCAGGGGGTGCCTGAGCTTTCAAATCTAGAGACGACTATAGGCTGAAAATCCCAAATCATTGCTGGCTTTATATAAAACATCACAACCCCAAATTAAATAACTTTTGGACATTAATTACTTCGCAAGACCCTTTGTTTACAAAAATTTTGATTAGTTCTATTATGTTCAAATTACCTGATGGACTACAACTACCAAAAACAATAGAACTCAACCTGTGTTGCAGACTATGCTGGAGGAGATGGCAAAGGCAGCAGGGAAATATTGTTAGATACAGCACACATGTAGTAAGAATAGGTCTTAATTGGACATAATTCCAATGAGAAATGGAATAAAGTATTTAAATGGAGATATCTACAGTACACACATGTGCACACAGATCTTTTGCATGTGTGCAACTGTGATCGTTTCTGTATTTGCTTCATTCAACATTCATAAATCCTAACGTTACAATATTCTCACACTACACTAATTGCATGAATGATTATCAGCAGTACTGTCAATGTGGCAAGTTCACTGAACTCTCTCTTGCACACACATACAAACACACAACATACACGAGCTTTCTTCTCTTTCTGTTCCAGAACTTTCTCTAGATTCTTCCTCTGTTTCTTGGTCAGAGGTTTCTTCTTGCAGACAGGTTGCACCACCTTCTGTTTCTTTGTTTTGGTGGCTGGGAGAACCAGCGCATTGCTTTCATCCACTCCTTTCAGAACAGCTGTGTCTGCAAGAAAGAAACAGTTTTCATGCATTAGCCATCTTCAACAGATTACAGTTTAACACCTCATGTCTGTCAGAGTCTACTCCTGAAAGAAATGGTGCGCTGAATTCACTTGACTTAAATGTGTTCATCAGCACCACACAAAATATACCACTACTATTGCCATTTTATTTATGTAGACATACAAGTTCTATATCTTTACATATTCAGTGGTTTATGGGTACCTACACTCATTGTCCACTTTATCAGGTCCACTTACCATTTAGGTGCACTTTGTAGTTCCACAATTACAGACTGTAGTCCATCTGTTTCTCTGCATTATTTGTAAGCCCCTTTACATCTGGTCAAGACCCCACAGGACCAACATAGAGCAGGTATTATTTGGATCATTCTCAGCTCTGCAGTGACATGCAGCTGGAGTTTTTAAACACCTCAATGTCACTGCTGGACTGAGAATAGTCCACCAACCAAAAAGATCCAGCGAACAGCAACATGTGGGCAGAAACTGACCACTGATGAAGGATTAGAGGATGACTAACACAAACTATGCAGCAAAAGATGAGCTACTGTCTCTGACTTTACATCTACCAGGTGGACCAACAAGGTAGGTGAATCTAATAGAGTGGACAGTGAGTGGACATAGTGTTTAAAAACTCCAGCAGCACTGCTGTGTCTGATCCACTCGTACTAACACAACAAACATTAACATAACACTATCACATTAGTGCTACTGCAGTTCCGACAATGCTGTACCTAATAAGCCTAGTAACACTTCTAAATGAGGCAGGCAATTTTTTTCTGTGTTGTGTCACAGAAGATTCAATAACAAGGTGAAGCAACACTTAACATATATACATGACAGTCATAACTTAAGAAATTAACCTTTATTAAATGAACTATCAGATGAAACTTTATTACCACCTAATTCCACCACAACGTCAGTCTCCTTGTGGGTGGCAGGTGCTGGTTTAGCTTCATCCTGCTGCCTCCCTTTCCAGTTGTGTTTCTTTCGCAATCTCCCCATCGCTGAAGACTACAAATACCACAACAAACAAATTTTATGAATAATAACATAGGTTAACTCAGTTACATGAAATCAGATAAATAGATTTGTACTTTCCTGAGTATTTTCGAATTATAATACTTACCTCTACTTATGTATTTATGATGGAAGTCATTAAAATTCAGTGACTAATTCCTTATTTGTGTTTAATTTCATTCTATTATGCTTTGTGATAGTATCTGTACTTCTTTGTGGTCACAACTCTAATTTTTAGTAGTATATTGCTTTACTAATTTATTTCAGACCAAGTGTTCATAAAAACAAAACAAAAAAAAACATAGAGCCTAACTTCAGCTCTTATGCTGGTAGATGCTGGATATACTAAAAAAAAAGTCCACTGCAGGTCTGTAAGTTACTCAGCACGCAGGAGGTTTTTGACCTGATACTTTTGTACTTTTACTCAAGTTTATTGCTAGACTAATTTTACTTCTGCTGTTATCATTTCAGAGTTTCTCTGGAATACATTAGTTACTAATATATTATAATTATCATGTTTACTACTAACCTGTCAATTTTAAAACATCTCAGTCAGAAAACAGCATGTTAGAGAGTGTAAAAATGGAATTAAAGCTGAAAGTTGATAATGTCTACTTTCTCTTGGTAAAGCTGTGTTTACACACGGGCAGTCGGGGGTTAGCAAGCAAGCTAACGACAAAAACAAATTCACCAGCTCTTTCTCTTGAACTAAAAACGCCAACAGTGTACAATTAAAAGAAATAAATAATCGTTTACTTACGATAAAAACAACGTGATTTATGCGTGAATAATCCTTTTTCAACTCCCGATATTCACATTTCCATTAAAACTCACGTGTAGTTAACAGCATACTGTGCACCACCGTAATGGTACCGACTACTGTACACAGCAGTCAGAAAGGTTCCTTTTCCTTCCCCTTTTTTTCAGTGAAAAACGGCGCTGCGGCTCGTGTTTATAATCATATTATTATATTATAATAATTTACCGTACACAATTAAAACGGCTGATAAACTGAACCACTTTGGAGTTAGCCGGAGAGTGCTGTGGCATCAGTGATCAAAGTGAAATATTACTTTTTTTGGGTCAGGCCCATTTTCTAAAAGGTTCTATATTGAACCATATACAACACATTCTCCATCAATCTGAAGAACTATTTCAACATGCAAGGAACCATTTAAGCGTGAAATTGTTCTATATTAGACTCTTTGTTCTAAACAGAAGGATTGCCTTTACTAAGGAACCCTTGAAGAACCATCTTTTTAAGAGTTTATTTTTGCCTAGTATCTTTCTAATGGTGAAATCAGGAATGCTGACCTTATATGAGGTGAGTGAGGCCTGCAGTTCCTTAGATGTTCTGGGTTCGTTTGTGACTTCCTGGGTGAGTCATTGCTGCAATCTTCAAGGAATTTTGGTAGTCCGGCCACTTCTGGGAACATTCAGCATTGTTCAAAGTTTTCTCCATTTGTAGATAATGGCTCTCGCTGTGGTTCGCTGGAGTCCCAGGGCTCTAAAAATGGCTTTGGTAGGTTTCAATAACTTTTCTTTCCATCTCTTCCAGAATGTCTTTTGAACGTAGTATAGTGTGGTGCTTGTTAAGACCCTTAGTCTACTTCACATTGCTGGAAAGGTTCTATTTAAGATGTTAAGATTCAACAGGGCTGGCAGTAATCAAGCCTGGATGTGTCTAGTTTAACTAATCACAGTTATCAACTACATTTGGTTAATTATTTGTTGGAGTAACTAAGTGGGGAATTACTTTTCCACACACAAGTTACATAAACCAGTTTTGGCAAAACAGAGCGAGAAAGAGAGCAGCTAGAGTGTAAGGCAAAGAGAAATGCAGGAAGTCACAGACTGAGAAACAGACAGCAGCACTGAAAAAGAGGGACGAGGAAATGCAGCAAGCCAGACAGATGGTACTGGAAGAACTGTCTAGAGAGAAAGCAGCAATTAAAGATCAGAAAAGGAAAAGATGGAGAAGATAGTTGAGAGGTCAGATGAGCTCTGCTGAGACAATATGGACGTGATTGCCGGTTATATGGCTTTGATTAAACAGAAGATGGAAGAGTTGGAACATGAAAGAGAGATGATGAGAGAGCCGACAGATGAACTGGAGAGCATGATAAACTAGAGGGAAGATACAGCTCTATCAGCAGTTCCTGTCACAGCTGTACGGAAACAGAAGCAAGTGTGCCAAAGCCCAAATGATAACATGACCGAGAAGAAAAAGGAAAGAATGAAAGAAGCCGGGGAAACTCAAAAAAAGGCAAAACAAAAAAGGGCAAATAAGCAGCAGAAGGCCATGAAGAACGAAAGTGAACAGAACACAGAGGGGTGAAGCTTCTGGAGAAGTTGTTCAGAAGGAGAGAGAGGATAATTTAGAGGAAAAGAAGCAGAATGTTTGAGTTTTAGAAACATCTGTAAACACTGTTTTCCCCTTGATATTTGTTAAAGTAATAGGCCTACAAGATAGATAGATTTGTTTGCAGCTTGATGATTTAGTGGATGCCAGGACACTACTTACTGGAAAGCATAGCGCCATCAGTAAAGTTTGGTGGAGGAGAGATAAAGCTCTGGGGCTGTTTTTCAGGGTTTGGGCTCAGCCTCTTAGTTCCAGTGAAGGGTAATATTAATGCTACAGCACACAAAGCCAGTCATATGCTTCCGACTTTGTGTTGACAATTTGGAGAAGGCCCTTTCCTGTTCCAGCATGACTCTGATGCTATGTACAAAGAGAGGTTCATGAAGACACAGTTTGATAAGTTTGGTGTGGAGGAACACCAGTGGCCCTGACCTCAATCCCACTGAACACCTTTAGAATGAATGGAATGTCAATTGTGAGCCAGGCCTTCTCGTCCAACATGCCTGACCTCGCAAATTATGGCTGAATTGTTACAAATTCCCACAGATACACTCCAACATCTTGTGGAAAGCCTTCCCAGAAGAGTGGAGGCTCCTATAGCTGCAAAGCGGGGCCAACTCCATATTAATGCCCATGGTTTTAGACCATATTCAGCGTGCTAATATAGGTGTAATGGTCAGGTGCCCACATACTTTTGGCTATAGATAGACAGATGGATGGAGGGATGGATGGATGGATGGATGCATAATTAGATAGATAGATAGATAGATAGATGGATAGATAGACAGATAGATAGATAGATAGATAGATAGATAGATAGATAGAGTGAGTGGTTTTGATGGACTACTAGTTTACTTGAATTCACCCTAACCATGATGTTGAGTAATTTCAAAATCACATTTTGAAATCATTTCAAAGACTTATTGTGTAATTTTTACAAGTGTCAAACAAACTGGTATATGTCTGTTTTTGTAACCCAACAATGTGAGGCACTCTGTAAGATCTTTCAGTTCTTGATCAGTTAGGCAGCGTGTTCGAAAAAGAAACCAAAAAATTATATGTGACCAGAATCCAAGAGGTTTTAGAAGTTCATGTTCTCCTCTACTACTACCAGATTCCCTCAAAAACACACACAGATAGTTCAAATTATGTGTAGTTCACTCCCAAACATAAAATTTACAGTTGAACACAAACATATGATCAAAAAGAGCCACAATTAAAAAGAACTTTATTGTAGAAAAATGTAGCCTCTTTTAGAAATTACTATTTTCAGCATGTTTTAGAGGAAACATACAGTATAAAACCATTACAAAACCAAAAGCCTATACTGGTTGTCCTAAATTGAACATTTCATTGCACAATCGCAAAAAAAAATAACAAATTCCATTTCTACACAACAGAACAGATGACTGACTTACACACATTTCCTCACATAATCTCCTGTCTGTCCACTCCTTCACTGTTTTGTGAGTGGAGCAGTGATACCCAACCCTGATCGTGGAGTCTCCTGCCTCCTGATTTTCCTGCTCAAACTAGGGCTGAGAGACATGCTTGTTGCAAAATCAAGACTGCTGAGAAGTAACTGACATCAACAGAGTGTTGAACAAACATGAATACGTGCACTCGCACTACACAGCCTTCAAAATCCAAGACTGCTGCATACACCACGGTCACTGGGTACAATGCTGGGAAGTTTATTTAAAAAAAATGAATTAAAATTAGAAACATAAAAGGACGATCAATGTCATTTTCTTAGTGAGATCATGGATTATTACTGCTACTAATACTATTTATTTTGTATTCAATAAAATGTACTGGATAAAGTATCTTGGAGGAATCAGTATCATACACTCTTAAAAAATGGTTCTTCAGGGGTTCTTTAGTAAAGACAATGGTTCTATATAGAACCATGAACACTTAAAGAACCATTTGCATGCTTAAAGTGTTCTTTGCAGTATGAAATGGTTCTTCAGAATGATGAATGTGTTGTATATGGTTTTATATAGCACCAAAAATGGTTCTGCTTTTGTTATGATGTCAAGCTTGTAACAATAGATGAAACCTTTTTGGTGTTATATATATGTATGTATATGTGTATATATATATATATATATATATATATATATATATATATATATATATATATATATATACATAAAACCATTGTCCAAATGGTTCTATACAGAACCATTGCCTTTACCAAAGAACCCCTGAAGAACCATCTTTTTAAAGAGTGTAATCAAGACACTGTGAATGATACCCAGCTCTAGTTCTAACACACCTAATTTTACTAAACAGTTAATTAACGAGGCCTTCCTGAGTTATTTCTACCAATATGGGGTTAAAGGAGAATTCCACCAATTTTTTTATATAATAAAAAATAATAATTAATTAACCGAGATGTAAACAAAGCCATTCACATTGTTTTGATATGAAATGTTTAATTGCAGAGAAATTTAGTGACTCAGATTTCTTTACAGTGGTGGTGATAGGAGCCAGGGGTCACAATGTCTACAACACAAATATAATCATTTTATTAACTGTCCAAAACAATGAGTTTTTATATGTAATGTTGATATTGGTGAGAATAAAAGTAGTGAATCTAAAAAAAATAGATTTTCTTTGCTGACTATTTTGTTTTACAACACCCTGTACTATTCTGCCATGAATATATTAAAAATAATTTTGAGGCCAAAAACCTTTGTAAAACAATTGGCCTCATTCATAAATATCTTGCTAAGTTTTTTCTTAAATTTGTTCATGAGAAAAGTCCTAAGAAAAAGTCTGATTTATGACGAGTTCTTAAACCCCGAATTGTTCTCACCTTTGTGCTCTTGAGTGTATGTAGATTCTGTTCTTACTAGAACAAATCCCAATTAAGACAACATTGGTGAATGTCAGAATCTCTGGGTAAGCAGGTTTTAAGAAAAACATTCTTAAGAATGGTTGGTGAATGAGGCCCAATGTTTGTAACCAGTTCATGTCATACCTTGATGTGATGTAGCTTTTAGAGGCTTAAATTCTTCAAACATCTGGTTCTAATCACCACCACTGTGAAGAATTCACATTCACTAAGTTTCTCATGAATGGTGCATTTTATATAAAATTTCTCTGAATGACTTTGCTTTCATCTTAACGGTTTAATTATACAGAAATTTCAAGAAATCGTTGGAATTTCTCCTTAAATCAGATCTCCAAGTGGTTCTCTTTAGAGAAATTAACATATGACTTAACCTTAACCTAGAAATGTTTGCATGAATTTATTCTTCTTTATAATCTCATGTGGAGAGCTGTAATTTTTGTCTATAAAGTTCTTGTTCATTTGCATTATTGAATTATTTCTCATTTGTTGTGTATTTGTATCTCTGCAGTGGAGGCCCACCACTCCCCACCCATTTGCCTGCTTACAGCAAGTGTAATGTTAACCCTGCAATCCTTGTAATCTAAAAAACTAAATAAAAAGAAAATAAATAAAATAAAATAAAAAGTGCAGGTCAGAAGCACTCCAGGACCACTGTTGAGAACCAGTGCAGTAAAGTTTCTCAGGAGTCTCTGTCCTTCAGTAACACAGCTTCCTCCGAGACTCCATCATTATGAGCCGAGCGGCGGGCATCACAGGTCAACCGGTCAAAGCGGCGGAGGAAGTGGACGACTGCGGCCAGGAGGAGCACCTGCACAACTATGAAGACGAACAGGCTGATCTGAGAGGCTACGGCCAGGTCACACAGCCAATAATGGCACGAGCTCAGCACCTCCTCCTCATCCAGATACGCCACCAGCCTCCCCTGCAGACTGGGAGGAGAAGTACAGCTCACATTCCTGCAAGAGATTACCACAGACAAATAATGCAAAAGCTGCTGAGGAAATAAAAATTCAAAGTTTTGGAATCGATGTTTTCAATAATATAAAATCAGTTTGGTTGCTGATAAATGTACAAAATGATTCTTGTCATGTTGCCACTTCATAAAATCATCATGGAGCGCATGCATATTTTCATGCATGTTTAGCAACAGAATTGTAAAAATTTCAGCATAATTCAATCATTGGGATGTAAGCAAAGTCATTCAGAGTGTTTTTCTAACTATTTATAAACTACAGTTTAACTATTTATAAGCTACAGTTGCATAAAAGCTCCACAGACCGCCTTTTGGCATCTCTTGGGAGTGCCCTATAGCGTCTGTTTAACCTAGAAGCCATAGACAAGTGTCAGTTTCTCCTCAGCAGAAATTCTCTGGGGACACTTAGCTTTTCAAAACGCTGATAATGCAAATTTGCATGTTAAAAACTAATCAGGTTTATTCTTAGGGAAAGATCACGTAAACATTTCTGAATAAAGTTCGTAACAGTACTATCTAATAATGTCATAAAATGCTCATGCGTCTTATCCCCTTGTTGTGGCATCAGCACTCATCAGCATGTATTTTTGGCCAAAAGAGTTTGGATGTGCTTTTAACAACAGTTTTTAAATCAGTATTCAGGCAAAACCTGCTCTTCATACCACAGAAGACACTTTGATCAACATTGAGATACGTACCCAGTAAGTAAATAGATGTTTTAGGTTAACAAAACCTTTGAAGGTCTATCAGCTGATTACTGATATTCTTCCAAATATTTTGCTAAAAATATATTTAGACATGCAAATCAGTAATCAACATTGATATGCATAATTTTAGATTTAAAAAAAACATTTGAAGTATACAATCTAGTATAAATCCAGTCAAGAGAACTAGGAACATACTAGGAAATCCATTCTTCTGTAACATCTTTCAGAATATGGTTAGGAATAAACAAGTAAAGTTTCATAAAGGTATTCTAGAACCTGTTTTTTTTGGTTCTGAAAGTAGAGAAAAACAATTTTAAAAATGGGCATCAATCAAATGCCTGCTCAGAAATCAAGCCCTGTTTGTGTGAATAATGTTGGCACAAAGGAAAGAGACATATTTGGTTGTTCTAGCCCGGGCGTTGCAACCCAAATGTCAAGAAGAGTCATTTTGTCCTTTTAACAAAAATCAAACCATGTGCTAGTACATGCTAAAAAATATTAACAAAAGCGCAGACTTAATTTGCTCTGCTTTAAGCTTCAGCTCAGCTATAGCCGTTTTTCTCACATCTCTAGCACGAAACTTTTCTGCAAAAGTAGAACAGTTTCTTGTAAAATGTCTCTCAACGGTCGACTTTTTACGAGGCTGAAGTCGCTTCTCATTTGCCAGCTTCTTGTTTGAACTTTCCCCTTCTACCTTAAATGATGCCTGAGGCGCCAGAATGTAACTGCTGCACCATTTAAGGTGGAACGGGAAAATTCAAATGATAAGCTGACTTCAGCTTCACAACTTTTTGGTATTTGACAGTTTCCCGCTGCAGATCAGGAAACCAGCTAGAGTGCTTTTAAATGCAAATAAGTCCATTCATCTCCAAATAATTGATGTTCGTCTTAAATCTCTCTCTTTGCCGTTTTGTTAGCTACTAGATTGTTGTCTATGTTGCTATGGTGACCAGAAGTCTGCACGCCAACCTTAAGGGTTAAAGGTTGGTGAATAAGCAGTTATAGGCTACATTAACTCCAGCGTTTAATACCATTTATTGTTAAAACTGTGTTAGAACGATCAGCAGAGCTTTATTTTACTGCAAAGGAGGATTTTTTTAAACCTAAATATCTAATTATCCTGTGGAGCCACAACAGAGAGCCGCATGTTGCCGCTCCCTGTCCTGGCCAGATTCTACAGAAAACAAACATGACTGGGCCAGCGTGGCTGTGAGAGTGCGGAGTATATAAGCCTTCATTAAAGATACTAACTTTTGGAAAATACAGTTCGATGTGAGGGAGTGAGAACTGACTAAACACACTGAAATACACATGATCTGGTGGACACTGACATTTGTCTGTAGTTTAAGTGTGAGAATACGTTTCTGAGCCATCACTGCTGTCTGTAGCAACAAACTCACACACTCACCCTATCAGTGCATTGCTGCTCTGTTTTAACAGCCACCCCCTCAGATAGAGCACCGCACAGTCACATGTCCAGTGGTTGCCGTGTAGGCTGACCCGCCGCAGGGCCGGCAGCGGGTCCAGCAAGCCGGTGGGCAGGGCTGTAAGGAAGTTGTCATGGAGACGGAGCTCAATGGTGTCAGCAGGGAAAGATGAGGGCAGTTTGTCAGTGGTCAGTCCCCGCTCGCTGCAGTCCACCACACCGGCCCTGCAGGAGCACACCTGCGGACACGCGGCACGAGCCGCGCACACATCAGCCCCCAACACACCGAGCACAACCAGGACCAACACACGTCTCATTGCAGCACGCACTGCGAGGCAGAGAGGGTGGAGGGGGAAAGTGTCATTTAATGTAATTGACTGACTGACAGTGCAATTAGATAAACAGATATAGTAGCTACTGTCCGAGGGGTTGGATTCACCGCTTAAAAGCCAGGAATCTGTGTTTTTAATGACAGAAAACCAGACTGAAACCCAGTTCAGCACTATTTTTAACTCACCACGCGGAGGTGCGTCATACCTGCGTTATTCAAGGGTCCACTCACAGCAGAGATGCGAGAGGGACAGTGAAGAGCGGGTTATTCAAACGGAAGTCGTTTCTCCTCAGCTGGTTAGCCTCAGTGAGCTGATCGGCTAGCCAGGCAAACTTTGCGAGACAAAATTACTTTTTTGAACGTAACATTTAACTTTGTGAGTAACTGCTTTGTCTGGCTATAAACGTAGGGTGGACCCGTGGCGTAGTACCTGACTTCTTGTTGTTAGCCGTGTAGCTTTTAGCTTACAAGCCGGCTAGCAGAGGAAAGTGATATTGCAGCCTAAAGCTTAGCAAATCGAATGTTAAGTGTTTTAAAAATGAAGCTAAGTTAGGGGGTTTTAAATAGTTTACTGCTATGACTGTAGCTATAAATTTGTCTGCCAATATTTTCAGGTTTGAAAAGGAATTTCTGGGTAAATTCTGCAGCTGAAGTCGACACTTGTGTTCACTCAGCTACACTGTTCAGTTATGCTAATTAAGTAACGGAGCAGCCCTTCAGGTCAGAGGAAATGTGAGGACAAGTGGGTGAAGGCTTATTAAAATCAGCGCTAAAACCACTCGGGGTGATTCTCCAACAGACCTGAAGAAGCTCCTTACACTGAACATGTAGTCGCTGTCCAAAAAAAAGGAATAGAAGTGGCACTATAAACATACTATTTTTTCTGAACAGTGAAGATGAGCTGAGCACTTCTTGGCTGCATAAAACCTCCTGTTTAAAAATACATTTTTAAACTTAAAATTTAAATTCATACTTTAGTCTATGTATTTTTTTCTTAAGAGCAACTATTAAAGGAATTTAAGGAAAAGCCTTTAAATAACAACCAAACTTTTGGCTGCTACTTTTTGCATGTATGAATTATTGTAATCTGATACTTCGTAGAAATCTGTTTAAAAACAAAATCATTTAGAAATGATTCTAACATGATTTAGAAAGCTCAACATTGATAATGAAGCTATAATCAAATTATTATTATTATTACAATTATTATTATATTTATTAGTATATTATTTATACAAATCAATCAATTAGTAACTTCTCTTCCTACTTGAAAGTGATTTGTAATAATTTCTAAAATTATAATAAAAACAAAATGTACAATAAAATGTATAATATTGAACTATACACTGTATAAGTTATTGTTGTGTTATATATATATATTAATATATATATAATATAATTGCTGTCCAAAGAAAAACATTTATGGATTTTGGTGCATTATGGTGTTTGGTGTATTTGTGTATACATACACACACACATAGAACATAGTAGGTCAGCTGTGTTTTGACTCATGATAGAGTCTAATAGCAGTTAGTAGGAATAGCCTCACCCAGCACTCCTCAGCACAGTGCATTAGAATTTTGCTATGAGCATATGGTATGATGTGGACATTTGTTTCACTGAAATAGATAAAACTACAGTTTGAGGTTCTCTGGGATTTACATAGAAGTCTAATATACTGTGAAAAGAGGAAAGTAATGGAGCATGACAGGCAAAGATAAAGAGCGCCAAAGTTTCTAACCGGAAAGAGGGGGGAAGACGCATAAGAGAATGGATGATACAGCAAAAAAATTCACTTTTTCCTTCCACAGTTAATTTGTGATAAACATAAAAGGGAATGTAAAAATTGCAATAAAAAGAAGCACCAATATAGAAAATTTCACTCTACTGCATTTTCCACATTGTGTGGCAACACCATCAGTGTTTCGCTCTTCTTAGTAATAAACTTTTCACATTTTCCCTAAAATGGGTATGATTTCAGATATACACATACATACACATATATTTATAGAACAACAGTAAGTCCAGGGTAGTCACTAAACTCTTGTAGAATATACGGTAATGAGGTTTTTTAGGTACATGTAAGGCAAAATAGTCCTGAATAAAAATGCTTTTACATTACATATAAACACTGTGAAGGTCCACTAGTTCAGTAGGTATCACACTAGGATATTCTCTGTCAACTCCTGTAGAACATACAATGTGTAAAAGAAGATGTTCTTACCAGTATGAGTCCCTTCTATTTAAAACGGGCCTGCAGAAGGAGTGTGTCCTCTTTCACACCAGTGACAGGCTTGTGGAGACACAGCTGGGTCACACTGATAAAACTCCCTCATAAGCACATAAACATACACTCACTCCACCCCCCTCAGAGTAATATCACAGAGGAAGTGGGGCACAAATTTGCTCTAAATGGTGGCGTCCATGTTCAATCAAACTCACAGGAGTAGTTAAAGAAAAAGGCTGATTTACACAGCTTTTCTCTTACCCCAAATATAGTCAAACAACTAAGACATGTTTGGTGTCTGACTATTGCTTTCTTAGTTTTGCACTGAAGCTATGTATGTAAAATGTAAAAGTTAACAAGTAATAGAAGCTTAATAACCCCAATAGCAGCTTAATCTTCTTCTAAAAAATACGAAGTAGTAGCAATTTTGAGGCCTGAATTTCGTCTATGCTTTTTCCCATTTTTATAGACAGCAGTAGGTCATAGTGTTGGAAAACAAATCTATTTAAGATTACTTAAAAACTCTACATATAAGAGAACAGTGCAATGATTTTAGCATGCATTTTGCATGATGCTAATTAGCCAGATATAGGCTTCTGGTACTCATTAGATATATTAGCCTTGTGGCTGAAGTGCAAATCTTAAGAAACAAACTTTGGACAAAAACATATCTTTTCTGATTAGTCTACATTTGGGGTAAGGGACAACTGTGCAAATTTGATTTCTGCATAAACATCTCATTTCAAAATTTCAGTCTAATTGAATGGTTAAGATGTTAGCCAAGTCATTCAGAGTGATTTAAAGTGAAATTCTATGTTCTAGAGAGACTTACCAAGTCAGAATAGTTTAGAGTGGTGGTGATCGCTACCAGACATCTGAAAGGTTTAATGTCTCCAAAAGCTACCTTACAGAAAGTTATTACAAACAAGTTGCCTGATACCTGACACAGTGCTTTAAGTTTTGAGATTAATAACATTTTTTAAAATAAATTAATGATAAAGATGTTCACTAGTCATTTTGGATAGTAAATAAAATGGCTATATTTGTGTTGCAGACTTTGTGACCCCTGGTTCTTATCGCCACCACTGTAAAGAAGTCGGAGGCAGTAAATTTCTCTACAATGAACCATTTCACATAAAACCACTCTGAATGACTTTAACTACATCTAAATGTTTGCCCTTTAAGGATTCAGAATCTATCTGAAAAGTACACTCTGAAAACAGAATAAGGGAATAAGACCACGAGTGTATAAAGAGCAGACGTCTGCAATCTGATTTATGCATATTTATTCAATAACAATAACCTGCACGGTACTTCTACATTCACTTAAAGCTAGCACTATAAAAAGCCAAGACTGCAATTGAGCAGCTTACAGGAATAAAAAGGGTTTATCATAAAAGTACATCTTCAAACACATACGTGCACACACACACACACACACACACACACACGCACACATGGTCCAGACTCACCCAAACGTTCGGCTAAAACGGCATTACAAAACACCTTTTGCACATTCGTCTAGCTAAGCATTAAAAAAACAAATCAAGTAAATATAAATTAGATACATCTAAAAGTCAATTTAATTTAAATTAATATTACATTATATTACCCATGTTAGCTATACTCACATTGGCATCAACACAAATGAAACATTAAATAGCTGCATCACATTTGTACTTGCCAGGCGAGGGCTCCAAAGCACCAAGCAAATCAGTTTGCAAATATACAGTATAAGATTTGTCACTGTTTGTTTTGGAGGATACACTGCAGGTATAATACATACATGACCATTTGTGTTCATTCACATGGGAGAGTACAGAGTATACAGTAAGATTTGTGTATGTGTTTCTGCATAAAGTATGTTCACATACGCGTATGTGGTGAGGTTTGTGTGTTGTATATGTATGTATGTGTGTGTATATGTGTGTGTGTGTGTGTGTGTGTGTGTGTGTGTGTGAGTGAGTGAGTGATCATCACTGGTCTTTCTCGTGCATCTGTTGCTGCATCTTCTCCAACATTTCCTGCATTCTCTTCAGCTGCAGACACACAAGCATGGAGAACACAGTCAGTAGAACCATAGTCTTCTTACAGTTGACTTCTTGATTGGTTAGGGGAGCAAAATATATCTGAAGGTCATGGACAAAATATAATTCTCAGACAGTCCAAAAACCCCCTTAGATTGTTTTCATTGCAAATATGTTCCACTACCGTGCAAATAGTTTTTGCAGTCATATTTAGGTATTTAGTATATTAAAAAAACAAATACTGACTCCTGACACAATTCTGAATCAAACTGTGGTGAAATTTAACATTTTATGATGCACTGAATCATTTTCTAAGCAAAGGTTCCTAAACGTTTTAATGCCTGAGGCCATATATAGAAGTATGATTTAACCTGAGACCAAACTAGCCAAGTCCTTAAGTCCTCAAAGGGGAATTTTCACCATTCTTGTTTTTGATGATTACATGGTTCAGATGTAAATAAAGTCATTCAGAGTGGTTTGATGTGAAACTTACTGAGTCAGAATTGTTTAGAGTGGTGGTGATAGAGCCCAGGCATCCAAAATGTTTAATGCCTCTAACAGCACACAGAAAGTTACTGTATGAAATGGTTACGAATACGCTGCCTGATGCCTGAGGTATTGTTTCACGACAGCTTTGAGAAAAGCTTTTGGCCTAGAATGTATTACGTTCATTCAAAATAGTCCCCAAAAAAACTATTTTATCTAGATGTACCACTATTGTACCCTTAGTACCCTACTATTGTATCAACATTACATTAAAAACTCAGAAGACATATGTAGGTTTACTGGTTGTTTTGGATAGTAAAAACATAGCTATATTTGCCTTGTAGACGTCACCTCAGCTTGCTCTTATCACCACCACTGTAAAGAAATCTGAGTCAACAAGTTCCACTACAATTAACCACTTAACATCCAACCAGTCTGAATGACTCTGTTTACATCTTTTACAGTTGAACTGCTTCATTTGGATTGCACATTAGGTCTGGTTGGGGTCAAGAACTGTTTGGGTCTTGTCCCACCCCTAACGCTACCACCCACTTTTCTCCATACTGCGACATCTTCATAGAGCTCTAATCAAATCAAACAGTTCCGAGATGGGAGCTTTACCTCCTCGTCTTTCATCTTGATGAGTCTCTCTGTCTCTGCGTCTGGAGTGGGCAGTGGCAGGATGGGAATAGGACTGTCCATGCGGTTGTCCTGTGCAAGTTTACTATAAAAACACAAATAAATAGACATTCGGATAACAAATCCAGTCTGTGAATTCACACTGCATTGACTGATTGCTGTTGGGAATGTTTTACCAATCAAATTCACACACACACACCTGGTCATCTCCTGTATGCAGTGGGCTCTGTAGTTCTCGTAATGTACATCACAGGTGACGTCTTTTAGGTCATGCATGTGAGAGCGAATCAGCATGTTCCTCAGTTTCACAAAGTCACAATGAGACTGATTCTCCACTGTAGAAAACACACAGAAAATACACATGAAGTGTTCACATTCACATCTGCTGACTGATTGTACAGTACATGTAAAAAAAATTGTGGACCGCTACACGAGTTTGTTGGACGTCCCTTTCTAAAACCTTGGGCATTAATATGGAGTTGCCCCCTCCCTACCTCCCCTGTGCGGTTATCACAGCCCCCACTCTTCTAGGAAGGCTTTCCACAAGATTTTGGAGTGTTTTTGTGGGAATTTGTGCCCATTCAATCAAAAGAGCATTTGTGAGGTCATGTACTGATGTTGGCCTAGAGGTGTACAGTGGGGTTGAGGTCAGGGCGCAGGCCACTGGAGTTCCTCCACACCAAACGAACTAGTGGTCTTCAAACTTTTGCATACATCTGTATACAGTGAACCTCAACGTGACCAGTGACTGTAATACAAAGCACATTAACAAAAGGGGTGGTGATTTTAATCACAAAACAATCACACACACACACAAACCTCACCTTCTACAATTCCCCAAGGATAGAGACGTCCTCGCACTCTTTGCCCTCTTGCCTCCACTACTGTATTACTACCGATAACGGCAAATGGAGTACACTCCTAAAACACACACACACATACATGGAAAATCAGTAGCATTTAACATGTTTAGCACAAGGCTTGCTACACACCAGTTCAATATGTAGATACACTGAGACCATAACAGAATGTAAGAGCAAAACTGTCCACATGAGGGCAGTACATCGACAGAGATCACTTTCATACTGTAATCACCAAAGGATGAAGCTGTTGAACGTGGTTATTATGCAACTCTGTGGGGTTTTAGAGATTTGTGTCTCACCTTAAGCTCTTTATCCATCTGCTTAAACTCCTCATCCTCATCAGAGTCACACTCAGGAAACTGATACACTTTAATCCCAAACCGCTCTATCTCATCTCGCACCTGGGAGAGTGTAAAATGATAAACTGCGATTAGCATCATGCACTAAAGATAGAGACAAACAATGATGTAGGGTGAGCCCTATTAATAATGTTCTGTTGTAGTACAGGTTAAAATGAGAGGCTGTGTGCTCACCCGGTCCTTCAGCTTCTTTATCTCATTTGGTGTGAGACAGTCTGCTTTGGCGATGAGGGGAATAATGTTCACCTTCTCATGTAGAGCCTTCATGAATTCCACATCAACCGGCCTTAAACTGCAAAAGCACAAACACACACAGACACAAAAAAGTTTAATTTCAGGAAAATGTCAGGGTGGGTGATGACAGTTACAACACAGAAGCAAAAATCAAATTAATTCATGTTTAAATTGAACAATTAGTTTCAATCAGAAAACATGAAAAAAGTGAAATCGTAACCTGGTTACTGCTTAGTTTCAGACTAAGTAGAGATTATGACCATATTTTAATTGTGTCTTTGTGACACGTTTATGTCAATAATTAAAGTCTGGGGGGCTGATTATTGACACATCCTGTATACGTATTACATGAGGTAGTTCAGGTTTTTGTATTGTTTATATGCATTTCATCACACCACTATGCTACTTTGCAATATTTTGTTTTGAAATGTAAGGCATATTATTCTATCCCTGTAATTTTTAATAACATCTTTGTAGAATTGAGATATTTTTATTTTTAAATAAAATACTGAAAATCAATTTCCAAGACATTGAAAACTGTATAGAATCTGAAAATGTACATCGTTACAACCCAAGTCATAATATTGTTATCACAATACATTAAATCATGACAATCTTGTCCATTTATACTGGGC